CTTTCTTCTCCAGCTCAGTGGAAATTCTCAGAATTCTCTCTACGTCAGCCTGATATGCTGCAAGTTCAATCTGTTTATCCGTTCATCTTCCACTGTAGTCGGTACTTTGATTAGTATCCAACTTTGGTTCTTGCTTGAATCTTGCTTGCTTACATCATCAACAGGATGATTTCCATAGAAATATAATCCGTTTTCTGACTCGCCACGCGCAATATTTTTAGTCGCATCAGTCGACATCATTTCTCTATCGTTCACATGCATTCTCTTTTTCTCGTTCCTCCAAATATGTACTTTGAAAATCCTAATATATCCAACAATCAGCAAGTACACAGTAGTAGGAAGGCGCACTCCAAGAACCAAAAACTTGACCCACTGGAACCATCAGATAATCAGAATAAACATATGCAAAAGCACACGCCATATCAGGATGATAGAGCACTCGTCGAAACGCAGCTTCTATACCATCCGCATGGACCATAATGGGATCATTCGGGCGAGTGATGCGCATCCTGAGGATTTGACACAAGAAGCGATCAAATGCATATTGGTAGTACACTGCGGGGCATTCATCCTCCTCACCAGGAATAGCATCTTTCAGAGATGGAATGTAAAGATTGATGGAACCTAACGAATTAGGACCATTGGAGCAATCAATACAGATTTGACCCTTTCCTTTATCAAAGACCCACTGAATCGGATTGATGACCAAGCCCGGAAGAAATTCATAGACAAATCGCAGGTAGTGGATGTGGTAGGAGTTCCACTCCTCCTTTGCAAATTTTTTCTCAACCGCAGCCAAGTTAGCACCCACCGCTGGGTGGTTATCGTATTCATTTCGTAGAAGTGTTGCCTCCATAGGCGTAGTATATTGTCCACGGAGAGGAACACCTTCAGTTTGAATACGATACGCCATGTCCAATTTTGTAGGTGGAAGATCTGATGGGAGCACCTTGGACTTCAAATGGGATTCGATGACATCCCATTCAAGATTGAAGTCACGCCCTTTGTTGGTATATTCACCTCCGAGCCAGCGAACAAAATCACCATGATTGAAATCAAACCGTAACAACGCGGCTGAATTAAGCCATGCTCGATGTGGGTCCAACGTAGTGGGCACCTTTTCATCAGCCATCAAGAGACGCGGAAGTTGCAATGACTTGAGAGAAGTAACACATGCAAAACGGCGCAACTCTGCATACTTTTTCCAAACAAGAGATGCCTGTACTGCCGTAGGTCGATCCTCAGCGGAAAGATATGTCCAAGCGAAATGGATCATAGACCGTGGATCAACCACATCATGATTCAAACCGCGGTCTTTCGACGCCCGGCCAAAACCATAGAGTCGTTTCTTGATGGGATTGCATGGAGGTGCAATCCAAGTATTCAACACCATGGAATGGGGTGCAAGATGACGGTGCGCCCCAGTCAAAGTATGGATAGTACAAGCATCAAGAAAACCACTAGCTTGAACATGAACAGCAATATCCATAAAATCCACAGTGTCATTCCACGCTGTGGGTGGCCGATCCAAAGGTGGTTGGGCGCCCTCTACCACCAATGACCAGTCCATCCGCCAAGGGACTGACCGCCGCCGCCTTTCCTTCTTCTGCTCCTTTTTCGTCAAATTCCGAGTCGGTTTTGATGGGAGCCTGCGTCAAAACCTCCTCTTCACATGGCAATCCAATGGAATTGGAATGCATGTCGCCGTAAGAGATTCTTTTTCCAGAAGTCGTGCACCTTCTGGAAAAAGTGGGTCTCACGGAGCCCATTGTGCACTTGGTGTCAGTGCTTTGAACCAAGCAGAGGGCCCAAGAACGCCCTTCTCTTGGTACAATTTGACAAACTTGACCACTGGTGCAAGATCAACATGAAGACGATCCCGTCCCAAGCCTTTAGATTTTGCAAAGCCGCGGGACTGACAAATCCCTGTTCCGTTGTCACACGAGCAAGACCCTTCAAACGCAGCACGAAAACAAATCGGGTGTCTCAGCGTACCTTGTGGATTCAGGAGAAGTGGAGAGTCACCGCGAACTAATTTCTTCATCAAAACAGCTTCATATACGGACTGTCCAGCTTCCACCGGGAGCAAAGATTTAAACAAAGGCTTCTTGGCTGTAAACGGTACAGTGTGTTCAGGTTGTGGTGGTCCAGGTG